AACACTTTAGACTCTACGGGTCACGTATGGTCTCTGTCATAAATTCTTTTTCTTTTTTTAACAATTCTTCAAAAATGTCTAACCCGTATTTCGCTCATGGGCTGTAAAGCTTACACTACGCCAAGGCTGCAGTTGTGAACCTCTGCTCTGGAAAGGGCATGATGATGAGGCTGAAGGTGCAGAATAATGTGTTCAAGGGAAGTGACGAGATGGTGAAGAGACTACAGATGGATCCCTAAGAGGAATTATTGAAAATATTTTAGCCTAGAGATGCTCAGACTCCTGATGACACGGTCAGTGTCTTCAGATATTTGAAGGATGCTCTAGTGGCTAGGAGATGCTTTTGTTGTGTACCTACCTTGGGGGAAGAAGGAGAATCGGTGAGAGACAGCTTTAGAAGACAGACTGCAGTGCTGTGTAAGAAAGAACTTGCTCATTATTACCTATCATTTGCGACCCTGATTGCCAGGCACTTTCCACAGGTGTCTCACTAAGCCTCAACAGCTCATCTCTGCTTTACAGAGAAAGAGTAGCACTATGACACTTGCTACCAAGTGGTGGAACCATAAGAATGACAATTCTTTACTGCCTCCTTATATGTGAATTAAATGAGATAAGCTGTAAATAATCTAGCAGTTCCATGCACATATCAAGTGTTGTTGCTGGTAACAATAATTATTATAATATCTAGGAAGCACTGTTTTTCTGATTGTGGTGGATTTTTTTTAAGTTTTCTATGGCTCCTGTTATAAATACCATATTTATAAACATATCTTGAAACAACATGCCATATTTATTGGCTTCCAGTTCCGCAGCCCAGTGAAATCAGTGTCACTGGGCTGACATGAAAGTGTCCATAGAGCCAGGCTTGCTTTGGAGGCTCTAGAGGAGAATTCATTCCTTGTCTCTTCCAGCTTCTGAAGGCTGCTAGCATTTCATGGCTTGTGGCTGCATCACTCCAGGCTTGGCTTCTGTGGTCACATGCTTTCTATGATGCCCTCTTCCTCTCTCTTGTATTACTTGTGTTTACATTTATGGCTCCTCCAGATTATTCAAGATAATCTCCCCACCTCAAGATAATTAACTTGGTCACATCTTCTGTCATGTAAGGAATGTTTAGTTCCTAGATATTAGGAAGTAATTATCTCTGTTGGGTCTCTCTCTGTCTTTTTTTTTTTTTTTTTTTTTTTTTTTGTCTTTTTGAGACAGGGTCTCACTCTGCAGTTCAGGCTGGCCTTGAGCTCACTTTGTAGCCCAGGCTGGTCTCGGACTTGCAACGATCCTCCTGCCTCAGCCTCCCGAGTGCTGGGATTACAGGCGTAAGCCACTACGCCTGGCTCTTGGTGGGTCATTTTTTAACCTATCACAAAAGATTTTTCTTTCCATATTAGAAAAAAATTTTATAGCATTCTATGATTTAGTGATCAATCATAATATCTGTTCTTTGGGAATATCTTTCTGAAAATAGAACAGATTCTAAATAACATATGAGCTAGAGATGAAATAACATTTCCAAATAGATACCCACACTATTTATTGACTAATAATTATTTTCACATAACAAACTGTAGCCAAATTGTTTTTTGACTTTGTTCGGTTCCAGCTGTCCATTTTGTAGGCTTTGGCAATGTGTTATGTTGTTTTATTTTCTATAGCATTAAAATATATATTTCTAGCTGATGAATTAAGTCCCTTTCTATTCTTCATTTTCAGTTTTCCTGGCCAATGACTCTTCTGCTGTTTTCTTTGCCATTGAGTATTTCTACTTAAAAAAAATTCCTTACTATTATTTTATTGTATCTTGGGGGGAAGAGTGGATAATGGACTTGTCTGCCTGCCATAATGGTCTGCTCATCCTAGTTCTTTTTTCTGGTGCTTTTACTGGTGTCCATTGAGATTTTTTTAATTTTCTTATTGAAATTATATGGAAATTCAATTCCAGACATACATACTTGAGACATGGATAGATACAGATATACAGCAGTATCTTCTTATGCATAGGTGCTATTGTTCCAAGACCCTGAGAAGGATGCCTGAAATCACAGATGATACTGAATTCTATCTGGACTTTTTTCCTGAAAATACAAACCTCTGATGAAGTTCGATATATCAGTTAAGCACAGTAAAAGACTAACAATAATAGCTAATAATAAAATAGGACAATTGGAATGAAATACTGTGATAAAAATTATATAAATGTATTCTCTCTCTCTGTGACCTCACTGTACTCCCATTTCTTTTTTTGTGTTGACACAGCTAACAGAAATGATAGTAAATGAAACTTTAGATAAGAGGAGAGCTATTATCTATTTAAATCATAACTTTTAAAACTTTGAGCAATTATATTCATTTAGACTGACGGTATCAGTTGTATACTTAATTCTGTATTTCACTGGCTTTATTTCTCATTAAAATTTCTTACGTAGCACATCTTTTCTTCAATTCATTATTTTGGCTTACTTTGTCCCCTGCCTAGAGGAACTCATCAAATAATCTTTAAATTTTTAAAATAAAGGGTATTTGAGTGATCTGATTTATATGCCTTCAAGCATACCTTTATTTCATCACCATACGGAGGGAAAGTAATTTAGCATTTGGCAGAATTCTTGAGTCACAATACTATTTCCTTAGAATTCTATAAAGATTGTGCCAGTATCTTTGAGCATAGTGTTGCAGACAAGAAGTAGGAGGTCAGTCTGATTTAATTTCCTTTTAAGCAGCCAGATTTTTTTCCCTATGAGGAAGCTTGTGGTTATTTGTCTTTGTTCTTGGAGTGGCAGACTGCATCTGGAAGTGTGTGTTCCTTTAGTAATCCTGCTGTCCAGCTCACTGAGCCTAAAATTTTTCTTCATCTCAAGGGAACGGTCTTTTTCTTTTTTGTTTTGCTCCTCTGCATGGCCACTAATGTTTTGGTCATGTAGATGTTTTGGGGCAGGAGATGAAAGAGAGTAAATATGGGACACTCATTTACCCTTTTCCCAAACCAAAACCGTGGCATAGAACAAGTGTAGGGGACTGAAGCATGAAGTGTAGGACTGGACCAAACGACCTTCTAGCCTCCTCTAACTCTGGACGATTCTCTTTAGAGCCTAAACATGGGGAAAGGCTTGAGAAAACTTTAACGCAAAAAGCCAGAGTGATAAGACTTGGTTTAGTCAGCAGGACAGAATGAAGCAAGGTAAATGCCTAGTCTTGTCAAGCCTCTTGTAGACCAGGCAGATGCAAGTGATTCTGTTGGTCATTACAAACTCCAGGCATGGTGGCACACATTTGTAATCCCAGCTGAGGCAGGAGGATCACAAGTTCCAGGGAAGCCACAGCAACTTGTCAAGGTGCTATTTTAAAATAAAAATAGAAAAAGCGTTGGGGATGTAACTCAGTGGTAGAGTGTTTGCCTAGCCTGTGCAAGGCTTTAGGTTAAATCTCCAGTACTGAGAGAGAAAAAAAAAGTTGTGGACTCCATAATGCATTAATACATTGCCAGCCCAGGTTAAGATGCCTCCTTTCCCAGTTAAGAATTGTTTCCTATAAAGATATGAGAATAGATGGCACCGTCTTCTGGGTTTCCTAACAGTTTTGAGATATTATGATTGTACTTTGGTGCCTGTGATATTAGATGGGGAATAAACAGCAGCGGCTAAACTCCTATGGGTATAAAATCTTGTTGTTACCTAGGTTTCTGGATCTTTATTACTGTTTTTTTTTAATGTGAAGAGATAGTATTCTCGTCATAAGGACTTTTTCTTTCAACCCAAATGGAGACATCTTTCCTTCTGTTCCTAAATTCCAAATCAACATTCTGCTCCTGCCCTCACTATGGTCAAAGCCACTCCCTCCTCCTCCCTGGCTGTCCTCACCCTCAGTCTCAAGAGGAAGAAAGGTCAAGAGAGGAGTGACAGGCCTTGTGGTAGGTCTTAGCCTTGTCACAGAGCCTCCTGGGCTCAAGTCTGTGGCCAGTGAGAGCCAGCTCCATGCTGTGTGGCTGGTGATGTTTCTGGCTGCCAGTGCCCAGCCAATCAGTGACAAGCCCAGCTAGCTAGGACGATGACACATGAAATATGATAATTTTCTGCTAAAGAGCCCCAGAAGGGGGGAGAGACCTGTGTGTGTGTGTGTGTGTGTGTGTGTGTGTGTGTGTGTGTGTGTGTCTGGGAGGGCAGTGCAGACAGCGTTTGAGACCCGGTGAGAGAGTGACAGCACTGGTCTCAGCAGATCCTGATAGCACTAGGCAAGGTGGGTAATGGGTGCTGACCCTAGTGTTGGCGAGACCTGTCCCCAGTGGCCTAGGAACCTGGTGAAGGGGAGCCTGGGGGCTGCTAGTGCTGATGGCCTGAAGCCAGGAAGAAGCCGCCAAAGAAGAAATTGAAAAGGCATTTGTGTCTGTCTTTCAAACACAAGTCAGGCTAAGAGTTTTGTTTTTCCTCAATGCTGCCTCTTTAAAAGCTAAAACAAAACTAAATACCACCTGGGTGGCTGAAGTACTTGGTGAATCTTTTTTTTTTTTTTAATTGTAGGTTAGGGTTGATTTATCACTCTTCCCCATTTTCCCACCTCCATTCTGTGCTCAACCCCAGCCCTTAAAAAAAGATTAAAGAACCAAACAACACTTCATTAATAAAATCTTGCAAAAGCAGCTAAGTCTAAATCCTCAAGATTCTGAGTTTCAGGTGAGTTTGGATTCCTGATTCTGGTTGGAAGAAAATGCGTACTGGAATAGGTGTGATCCTGCATCACATTACAGCGTGGAAGTGTCCTTTGGTTGAGGACATGACCTCTCAGGTGGCTGGGCAGGGCAAGGGAGGGACAGGAGCAGAGGTCCCTACTTCCTTAACCCTGCTGCATGCTTCCTGTCCCTTTATAAACAGTAAGGGTCCGGTGCAGGGGTGACATCTGTGTTGACAAATCTGCTGATCATCTTACCTCGTGAACATGTGTGTTCAGAAGTGAAGAATAGGGGTCACAGTGTTTATATAACATGTCAATTCATCCTTGGGAAGCTCATCAGATGTATGTCCACTCTCGTGCTTTGTATTTGCATATTTTCTCTCCATATATCTGTAATATGTACTAAATATATATGTGAGTCTAATGTAGAGTTTTAAAGGGCATCAATAAGTGAAGTAACTGCCACTGCATGCAAGCCTGCGCTGTGTGGCTGTAAGCATGGGTCTAGCTTCCTATTCTAAAAGTGATAGCAATTCAAAAGTGATAATTGGTGTACTGTATCTTTAAAAGGTTAAAACCTCTTTCAAAAAAGGTCTGGACTCCTAGTGGAAAAGACAAGAGGCATGGGGTTGGCTCTAGATTCAGAAAACAGCTGCTGATTAGATTCTGTGTCTGAGAGCTGAATTTATTCTGTGTTTCTCAGCAGCAGGAATTCAAGAGGGATGCTTCTGTTTGGGTTTCTGGTCGTGATTTATATTTATTCAGAGGAATAACAGAGGGTGGATCTGTTCCCGGAGCGAGCATGCTCACAACCAGCCGACTCTCCCATTATCCCACTGCCTAGTTTGGTGCTCCCGTGTACATGGCTATTCTGTGTGCATATGTGTGTGTACAAACACGCATGCATGCCTGGATGGACAGACGTATGCAGAGGTTATTTTTTAAGGGCAATTCTTTCAATAAGGTCTTTACCCCTTACTTGAAACAGGTGTTCATGAAAAAAATGCACAAAATCCTGACTGGCCGGAATAATTCATGAAGAAAGGGCTGGATCCGTGGGGTCAGAGAACACAGGACCAGGTTGCCACCCCAAGGCCGAAGGTAGGGGACTTTGGGTTTGTATTCCGCGGATGGATTCCTTGCGCTGTATTTTACGGATTGTGTTTTCGCCTGCGGCCGCCACGAGGAAATGCATTAACGATCCGCGATTCCATTTTGTCGCTGCCTTTCTTAGGCTAAGTATCCGGGCGACAGGCGCAGGGCCGGCTGGTGGGCTCTCGCCAGCCTCGGCGCCCTGGGTGGGCAGAGCGCGCCGCTGGCCAGGGCCGGGGAGCGGCTGGATCCTCCAGTGACTCCGCGCGTCCATCACCCGCGGCGGCTGCTGCGGCGGTGGCGGTGACCCTGTGCGCGCGGCGCGCTCCTGCGCTCGCTCCTCGGTGGCGCGCTGGAGATCCGCTCTCTGAGCCAGGGCTGCCCAGAGAGATGGTTCTTTCTCGTGCTGCCCTAGCTGCTGCAGCTGGGATGGTTGAGGCTGACTCGAGTGATCTCTGTTGTCTGGTTGAGAATGAGATTCGCAGGATGCTGGGTCCAAGGCAGAAGGGAACGTTTTCCTTCCTCCCTTAATTCTGGCCCCCTGAAAATGTTCCTAAAGCGAAATCACACCTCCCCTCCCCTCAAACCTCACTGCACTAGACCAAATACACACTCCTATCCTGTTGGGGGTTCTTGACTTCCTGCTAGCAAAGCAGGTGCTCCCTTCCAGTTATGCCCTACATTTTACCATCATTTGGAATGGAAACACTGAAGGCAGCGCGTGGTCCCCATAGGGTTGTCTGGACTCATGAGCCCAAACTGCTTGGACTGAAGTGGTGATGGAAAGGAACTCTGCTGCTTTAAACCGGTGGGTTTGGTTTACTTTGCTAGACAGGACTACTTCTGTGGCTTGGCCTGCCCTTGAACTTTGCTCGTAATGGTTGCAGGAAGACTGGGGACTGGGTGCTGGGCAAGTAGCACAGTGGCCTCCTTCTGACTGTGCTTGCCGAAGGTTCTGGCAGCTCTTGGCATTCTAAGGGCAACGGCCAGGTGCCCCTCACCCCCAGCTTGGGTTTCATTAACTCTGATGCTTTCTGTATTGGGCAGGTGGGGAGGGTGAGGAAAAGTGAGAATGAGGCGCTAGCTGAGCTGATCTCCATGGAAATGTTCTCCTGCTATATTGGTATGATTATGTAACCCCAGTAATGATCAGACCCTGTGCCCAACCAACTCCCCAGCCATCAGCCATTTCCTTGCCCTCCCCGACCTAAGAAGTTAGGTGCTACAACGTTGTTGATGATGTCTTTCTGTAATGATGTGTGCGACAGGGCGGGGAGTGCATGGAGCCAAGGCAGAATCATTTGAATAATTCCAGTGTGAAGAACACAGGGCCGAGATCATGTGCATCCCATTGAGTATAGGGTTACGGCCTTTTGGTCTGTGTTGATCTGAGGCCTTCCCACATCTCTTGGATCAGCTTGTCTGAACTTGCAGTTGGTCATTTCTCCATTCTGTTCCTGGAGGTTGGACTCACTCCTGCAGGGCCCTCAGGATCCTAACTCCATGTAGAAACCAGGGTCCTGAACCCAGGGTGGCCACTCAGATGTTAGCTGCTTCCTGTACTTCCCACTGAGCAACCAGTGTGGGAACAGTGCCCACCCCACTGTGAATGTATGTGTGTGTCTCTGTGGGGGGGAGTGTCTGTGTTGTCCTGGGCTGACCTGTCCTGCGGGGCTGAAGAGTGGACTTCAGATGTTAGCTGAGCTGTGTGACATCTGTTCCCTAAAGCTGAGGAGTTCTTATTATGCATAAAAACATCAGGAGGATTCTTGCAAGGTAGGAAAACAGTTGACCCATTAGGGTATCTGTAGGCAGAGGGAGGGGCCGTATGCGTGTGACCCTTGACTCTTTTCTTCTTCTCCGTTCTTTCTGTCTGTCAATGCACCTACAGGACACACACTTGTTAACTGAGCCTCTCTGTCGCACCCCTTAATGCCTCAGCTGGACAGATTTGTTAATTTGGTGGTAAAGTCTGGCTTCCAAAGGGTAAAACTGTCTTTTTGCCTGCAGTACCACAGGGATTTATTTAATGACCAGCTACTAAATTGTGCTCTGGGACAGTCCATCAAGATGTGCTCCACCTGCACTCTTGTGCTGTCCCCACCCATTGTGCTTCAGGTCTCCTCACTCCCCTCAGGGCAGAGAAGTGTCTGCTGCCTTTGGACAGTTGCCACGTGAACCTCAGAGGTGTTTACTGTGTGAAAGGCAAGAAGGAGATGCTCTGGCAGGTTCTAGGACTTGACTTGAAGGAAGATAATGCTAAGAAAACTGTGTGACAACTGGATAGCTTTTAGCTTGTTTCTGACTTTCTGCTCAGTGAGTTCTCTGGTGTCCTTCAGGTTCTTTTCTGTGCTCCGTGCTACCCATCAAGGAGGCTGTGACAGGCTGGACTCCTCCTTAGGAGTCAGAGCATATTTGCAGATCTCCAGCTGTACTGGGTAGGTAGGGCAGGAAAGGCTAGCTATGTGGATAGGCAGCACTGGCTTCCAGAACCAGACTTGGCTAAAGCCTTTGACCAGTTTTGGTCTTCATCTATAAAACCAGTAGAGCCGTCAGCCTTCTCAAGTGCACTGAGAAGTTTTGAGAAAAAAATAAGGTAAGCTAAAAAATAGTATGCTTTGTAGCCAGTGAAACTCAAATTTACAAGTGACAAAACAAGAATAAATCCATGCCCATTATGCCCCAGCTAGATCAAGGACAAACAGTTTAAATGGCATTTAGTATATCCAGTTTGAGAAGACATGAACATTTGAAGTGAAACTCAGATGAATTTTTAGTATGATGTTTAGTGCAGCTATCCAAGATAACAGAACCTCCTAAGGTTTCTGGACATCGAAGCGCTTGCTAATGAAATTATATTACAACTCTAAAGGCCTGCTTTTGGAATTCGTTGAGAACTTTACAATTTTTTGCTGAAATTTAGCAGAAAACTATTATGCTGTTATAAGTAGTGGGTTATGTTTTAATATTTGATGCCATAGAAAATACTAAGATGATAACATTCAAACCTCAATCAGAGTACACATGCCTGTTGTCCCAGCACTTTGGAGATCACTGTAAATTTGGAGGCCAGCCTTGGCTACATAAATAAGTTCAAGACCAGCCTGAACCATGTGGTGAGACCATGTCTCAAAAATTAAAAAGGAAAAATGAAAAACTCTTAAAAGATATACTTAGACCCCTTCCAACCTAGCTTTTTTAGTATTGCAGTTGGAAGAGGGCTGGTGATAGAAACAGCAGAGAGGTGTTTCCTAGGGACATCTGCTTTTTAAGACTGTGTAGGGAATGTGTATTTACCGCTACTAATGTGCTGTTCCGGCAGAGAAATGAGTTCAAGATGTTATGGCCACACCCCATGCATAATGGTGGTGTTTACTTAATTCAGAAATTATGCACAAGACCAGAAAGCCTGCTGACTTACGGGAGCAGGGCTAAGCTGATCCCAGTGTTGATTAGTTTCGATTGTCAGGTAGAGTTTTCTCCACATCAAAGGCAACAGGAAAAAATGAAAATAGAGGAAATCGAATGCTGACACTAGTTTTAGGGAGAATTTTAAAATTGAGTACATATGTGGAAAATGTGAAGACCAAATTAAAAGTAAGAGAAAAGTATTGCTCAGTTTCTAGATACCCATAAATTTATTGTTTTGGTAACATCTTTGAAGAAATTCTTAAATTTGCTAAAAGAAGTAGTGGGTATCAGGTCATTGAATATAATAAAAAAATTCTTGGAATTGTGTAAAGATTCCATGTATATGAGAAAAGGGAAAATACTGTAATAAATTGGGAAAAAAAAGGGAACTCCCTGAAATCTCAGGGGACTTGTAAGGCACAGGATGGGGCATTGGTGATAGGAAATGAGTGAACCCCTCTATCCTGAGAGCTGCCCTGTTGGGCTGATCAAAGTCAGAAACACTTACTTAGGAGCAGGACAGTGAGAGTGGCTGTGCCCAGGATGGCACTCATGAGTCCATGAGTGATGAGAGTCTTCCCCTCAGTGCCGGTCGTTACAGAGTGCCAGGTGAGGCTGGGATTCTTGTGGAAGATGGGGAAGGTTACAGCTTTATATTAGATGTGGAAGTCTGATGCTCCTCAGACTTGAAAAGCAGAGCTAGGAAACTAACCTCAGGAATCTTCGGGTACCCCTGGGTATCCATCGACTCTAGAATGACGGTCCAGGGTGAGCTTTATAAAAATCAGGCATGTATGCTTAACTGAGATTCATAAACAAAAAATAGAGATGGAAAAGATAAAAGGAAGATTCCAGATACACAGTATGCTCTGCTAAATTTCTGTTAATAATTTGAGTCTGTGAAGTCACTTGTTGGACTCTCAGAGTTCACCTCAGGCGAGGAAGCTATCTTAAGATCAGAGAAGCTCTGATGAAAGGGATTTAGTAGAAAGAACTGGACAACTTCCTCAATCAAGATTCACTACAGTAGACCCTTGACATGCTTGGTGATGTATCTCAAGGCCTTGGCAGGTCCTCACTTTGCAAATGCAGAAATATTTGCATAGGCTCTTGACTTCCCTATGCATCTGGTTTTAGTCTAGAGAAGAGCAGTTTCTGTGATTATTCATAGGTCACCAGCTATTTGTCTTTTCAACTTAACCTCAAGAAAAACTTGAAATAAAGTTTTTCTCACATGCAGAGTTTCTGTGTGCCTGGTAGCGTACTGGGATGGGGACGCTGAGACTCAGAGAAGGCTCCCACGGTAGCAAAGTGACTCACCTTTGCACTTCAGCTTTGCACCGCAGTCCACACACTAGTGCTTCAAATGGCTATGGATGTAACTGTTAGAGGTTATTGAGAAGTAAAAAGTGGCTGTTGGAGCTATGAGTGCCAAGGAGCTGTAAGGTTACCAAAAATTGCACATGCATGCGGTTCCCCAAGCAGTCTCCACACTCTGACCCTCAGTGCACACTTAATACACCGCTGAGACCTGTGATAAAGTATTTAGAATTAGAGCATCACCAATGGAAGCTGTGAGAGAGGTGCAGAACATAATC